TATTCAGGCTGAAAGAACATCTCTGTATGACTTATTGGCCCTACTCTGATTTTAGAGACTGATCCAGATCAGGATATGTTCCTACTTAGGATATAAGGAGATGACCATGCTTCATTTATCCATCTTTCCCCTCAACAGTACTGAGTTTTTCACTTTTTGCTTATAAGGCTCTGTATCCTCACCATGGTATCTACCACGCTGTAGGACTACAATAACACATGCTCTACAAAATGTGCTGCAGTTAGCACATTCGTGATCCAAATGTTAAAATGCCAACCCAAGGATACCCAAGTAAGACCAACACAAAAATGATATCAAAGTCTGCCAATTGGCTTGCAAGATGATTTTGTTTTCAACTCACTATAAATCATATTTTCTAAGTTGCTTAAATAAGTAAGCTGCTATATCATGTTACAAAAGAAGATAGACACAGAATACTTAATTACACAAAAAGATACATATAAAAACCAGTTCTGTAAATGTCTAGTTCTGTCTAAAATTAGAGTTAGCATAAAGGATGAAAGAGATTCAGATGGTAATCCTCCCCCCCCCACCCCGACTCCCCAAACCTTAGCTTGAAATTGCTTCTGCCTTGAATGAAAAATATTACAGATCACTTTCATCTCATCTAGCATCATGAACTCTCCCTGTGTTTGGGGGAATTACAACCAACACTACAGCCCTCTTTATATAAGAGGTAGTGAGGATATAAATTTGGGGTGGGCAGGAGAAAACAAATATACAACAGACACAACTTCTTTAGAATTACCTGACTACAAGTTCTAAGGAAGTAAAAACACAGGGGATTAACTTGAGAATGAAATGAAAGCAAATCTTTGATTTTTAACCTTCCTTTTAGGACTTAGCAGCATACCTCGTATTTTGTTTTTTCATAACTGCCTTAGCCAAATCTACTCAGCTTTAAAGTTCATGAGATTATTCAGTGCTGCATGAACATAAACAACATGACTTGTACAAAATAATCAAAGATGAGGAGCTCAGAGATTTAATAGCTGCTCTAATTTAAGATAACTAGCCAGATACTACATTCATTTTGGTTCCTATTAATCATCGGTAAAGATCCTTAACTAAGTAACTAGATTTTAAAGTATTTTGCAAATAAGTTTAATATCATTCAACCATACATTACAAAAATAATAGTAATGAGTATGCCCAGGATGGCTGAGCGTGCCAATGCCAATTAAAGTGTTTAACAAAGCAAAGATACTAAGTTTCTTTAAACTGGTCATCTCTCCATTGGGGGTGGGAGCAAAGGTGAAGAAAAACAGAACAGAAAGCCTGTCTCACAGCAGACCCCTCTCCCGTTTCACCAGGCTGGACTCTCGGCCTCCAGTCCTGCCCTCCCACCCGGTCATGCTCACAGGCTTGCTGACTCTTCACAAATGGTTTTTTGATCTGGCCGACGTTGAATTGAAACCAATTCAGAGCGTGTTCCAAGACGGGCCGTCTGCTACATCGCACAGTTTCATGCTCTACTCAGTGTAGAAGAAGAAATAACATACCACAAACCACTTCATTCAAATACCAAATCTGTGACCAAACCCTGGGGCCAGAGAAGTTCTCCATCACCCCATCTATTCCTCGAATCTTGGCAGGTAGTCTATCAAACTTTTAAGCAAAAAATATTCATCCTGGGTTTTCCTAAGTCAAACTTAATTTACACCACAATGAGTAAAAAGGGCGAAGAAAGGAGATACATATTTTGCATATAAATTGTCTATCAGTCTCATAAAAAGTTGAAAATTTGGAAAAATAACCAAAGTTGTTTGATAATGCATATTTTAACCAAAACTAATATGGGAATTGACTTCACTACAGTCAATAAGAAAAAAACACCAGAAAAAAAAATTAAACTTTTTTGTTTTCTTTTTGAGTCAGAGTCTCACTCTGTTACCCAGCCTGGAGTGCAATGGCACACCCACAGCTACAGCAGCCTTCAGCTGCTGGGCTCAGGCAATCCTTCAAGTTTCAGCCTCCTGAGTAGCTAGGACTACAGGTACATGCCATCATGCCCAGCTAATGTTTTGATTTATAGTAGAGACGAGGTCTCGCCAAGTTGCCTATGCTGGTCTCGAATCCCTGGGCTCAGGCAACCCTCTCACCTCCGCCTCCCAAAATGCTAGGATTATAGGTGTGAGCCACTACGCTGGCGGATTAGATTGTTTGAAACCGTCAAGTAGTGTTGACAGTTAGATGATTCAGGTTACAAAGAAAAAAAAATAGAAAGAAAGAAAAAGAGAAAAAAAGTCCTAGAAACAAGAATATATCTTTTTTTGGAGGGAGTAAAGTTTTCAATATGCTAACTGACATCCAATAACATGAACAGCTTTTTAGTATTCTTTCTCTATATGCTTCCTTTCCAAAATTGTATTCACCATCTTTCTTCATTTATTTCTCAGTTTTTTTAGAACATGCAAAATATGAAAGCCTATGGCAATATACAGCCCCTACATTGTTCCCTCTAAAATAACTTTTTTCATACAACTTAAGTTTCACTAAAGCTTAGCTACAAGTAACTAAAGGGGGTGTGTGAGAATAATAGTTTTTAATTGCTTTATCTTATCTTATAACCTCTAAGATAAAATCAAGTCACTCAATGACCAAAGTCTTCAGTTTTCCTGAGTCTGACATCTTAAAAAAAAAAAAAAAAATCCAGGGCTACAATTAAGAATGAATATATTGCCGGGCTCGGTGGCTCAGCCTGTAATCCTGAGTCTTTGGGAGGCTGAGGTGAGCGGATTGCCTGAGCCCGCGGGTTCGAGACCTACCTGGGCAGGCGAGACCTCATCACTACAATAAAAAAAAAAATTAGCCGGGCGTGGTAGCATGCGCCAGTAATTCCAGCTCCTTGGAAGGCTGAGGTGGAAGGATCGCTGGAGCCCAGCAGGTCGAGGCTGCGGTGGCCAGAAGCGGCCACTGCACTCCAGTCTGGGCGACAGAGTGAGGCTCCGACTCAAAAAAAAAAAAAAAAAAAAAGAATGAATATATTTATAGAAAACTTCATAAAATACAAAATATAGGATGAAAACATCATATAAATAATGAACATAAAAACAGACTAAAGGAGTTGAGTATTTGACAATCTTTTTTTCCTTAAAATCAGATAATTTTAAGAATTATTTTGTACCTAAAAAAGAGAAATACTATGAACGTAGGCCATCTTGAGTAGTCCTATAATAGATATGCTAAATACACTACAGAAGCTTCTTACTTTCTAATAATCATTTAGCAAACCAATGATCAAAAGATTCATATTCTGCTAAGAACACCAAAAGAGTAGACTTGATTCTAAAACAAAATGTCCCTCTTTGGTCACGCCCTTTATGAAACATAGCCAATTCTATTTTCTTGAAGGGTCAAAGAATCAACTTAGAGATTCTATGTCTTCTTCATTTATTTTTCCCTGCCTACTTTCCAACATTTGCTTGTTTCACTATTTGCTAACACTCCCACCAGAGGACAAGTGAGATTTAAGGCGCAATTCAAACAGGTAAGTTTTACTCCTCATTAAAAACTCTGTTGAGGAAGAGTGAATGTGATAAAAAGAATTAAAAAGTTAGCTGGGATCAGAAGTTGAAACTAATGTTTACAAGGAAATTCTGGCCAGGCCACAGTGGTTCACACCTGCAATCCTAACACTTTGGGAGGTCAAGGCAGGAGAATTGCCTGAGGCCAGGAGTTCGAGACCAGCCTGGGCAACATAGCAAGACCTCGTCTCTATAGACCAATAAAAAATTCTAAAAAATAAAAAAAGGAAGTTCTGAAAGTCAGGTGAATTTTCATGATTCATACCCTTCCTCTGGAAATTAAGGATCTGATTGTGAAACTAATACTTGTACCATAAGTGCATACAATTTAAAAGAATCCCAGGCCTCCCTCAGTGTTATTACAGGAGGTATTCAGAGTCTTCTTAGAGATACCTCAGAGTCAGGTGAGTTGAAGACAGTTGTCACATGTTTGCATGAATCTCTGGATAGCTACTCCCTGGCAGCCATCTCACCCTTCCTCCTTCTGGCCACCATGTCACCCTTCCAAACCAAAGTGATTTCAGAAGCTCAAGAGGATAATAAATGAAAGATATAATTTTTAAAAGGAGGACTAAAAGAGGATGAAAGCTGAAAACTAATTTGAAATTTAGGAAATGTTCTCCATAAGGAGGAAGTCTCACAACAAGTCACAGTTGCAGACATGAATGCTAGCAAGGCAGGTTGTGAGAGCAGAAGTATCTTATTCCCCATACCAATAACCCACGTGATTGCAGACCAGTGATGGGCGGCCTGTCTTTGGGTCCTAGTCTTGTTCTATATGGATCGGTATCGAAAATTGAGATTCCCAGGCTCTTTTAAAAAGCAAGCAATGGGGCAACACTGAAACCATGTGGCCACAGGGCAACAGTTTGCTGGGACCCAGTCACTTGAATGGGGTATGAACACTCCCATTTCCGAGAGTCTCACTGCAGTCCGGTTCATGAAGCCTGGACCCAGTGAATAGGTCAATCTGCCACCCCTGCTCTAAGATGAAGTGTCCCACTTGATGAAAAAGTCAGGGAACCAGGGCAAGTAAGGTGCAGAAGCCATCAACCCCAGTGTGATGGAGAACGGTGCCTTTAATCTGGATGCATTTAACATGAGAATTTATCAGCTCCTCTCACAAAAGATCTGCTTTAATTTTAGTTCCTCTTGCATTTGTCTCAGGGTTATGTAACCTCACAGGAGGTCACACAAGTCTCCCAAAAAAGAAATTTAAGCTGTCTTTTAAAAATAAAAAAAGAACCATGCATAACAAAGACAAACACAAAACTGAAACTCGCATTCTCTCCCTGACAAGCATCACCCTCCCTGTTAATCTCAAAAATTATAATCTTAAGGGAAAAAGAAATTCAAACACAGACGATGGAAAGCCGTTTCCTGCCCTGAGGACATATGATATGCCATACTCTCAACATGCTGTCAAGCAGAAAAATATAATTAACATCTTACCATCTTCCAGCTCAAGACAAAGATTGTAGACAGCCACGGGTCTCTTCGTCCTCTGGCCCTGTCTCTTAGATTGCCTGGGTGGAGCATTTGGGGGTGATGCTGACAGGCAGGCGGGCTCAGGGAATGTGGTATCGGGCAGGGTCCGAAAAATCTGCCATCAAAGCATACAGGACACAAATTGTTTACCGTGAACAGAAACCCAAGTATTGCTACAGTAAACCAGCATCTAACAACATTTGATTTGGAGTTTATTCAAGACAGGCTAGAGCCAAAATTCCATTCCTTCAAATTTGGGAAATTTGCCTTTTATTTATTTATTTTTAACCAAAGATTTCAAAATAAAATCTCATTAGATTTAAGTAAAAGCAACACTGAATCACTGTATTTCAAATACTTCATTCCAAAACTAAACAAGTATAATTATCTTCACCAGGTGTGGACAGTACCACATCTCTTCATCCCCAAAGGAAGTAGCCAGAATAAAACATTAAAAACAAGCACTCCACTACATTTCACAGAAGGTTATATTTATGCCAAAATACTGGTCTCGATTTTTTTCTAACTACATAAACAGAAACATACGGCTGCAAATATTTTTTACACATTTAAAAATAGCTTGTGCTTATGAAATCACCTTTCTGGGTTCCCATTTATATTTTTCACAAAATGCTTTATAGATTTTATCCATTCATTTAATACCCTCCAACTTCTCTTAATCATTTCCCCTTCCACTTATGAAACCTGGAATATTAGCACCCTGATGTATCTACAGTGTCATTCCTATAACAGAAATAATAACGTTAATTAAAATTTGCTATTTCTTTGCTTAGCAACTTTTTTCTTTTGGGAACAGCAATTTGTGCCACAAAGAGAAGATCATACACAGGTGATTTATAATAGACCTTGCAGGGCCATGGAGACCTAAGTTCAGAGGCTTCCTTCCAACAACACTGGAGGCTATTCTGCCTCCAGTAAAGTTATAAAATCAAATATACTCAAGACCTCAACCTAACAGACAGTGGATCTCCAAAGGGCTGACGTCCTTCAGGCAGAAGCAGGAAGCAGGACGAAAGCTTTAAACAAAACACAAATGCAAAACTTGCCATCAAAGACACTGCATGAAGTCCCACTGTAAGTTTTGCATTTTTAATATTTAAATAAAAACAGGCACAAGAACTGTGACATGGGTGAGGGCATCACATGTGGATCATATTTAATAACTAACAACGATGCTGGAGTTTTATCTGCAGTCTAAAAGTTCTCACCTAAAAACTACTATACACCAATAAAAATAAGCAATTTCAAGGGAGCGTTTGCTTTATAGTACCATACTGCCCCCTCATGTGTAAATGGAATTTAAAAAACGATTTAAATGACTGTGGACAAATATTTGCTAGTGAAAATTTAACTTGCTGCTCCAACTGGTAACCTGCTAACGCCATATTTCCACAGAATCTGCATTCCAATAGGCCACTCTGGCAAATAGCAAACTACTTATCAGCCTAAAAAATCTTCTGCTGCCTAGACGATTGTCCATAGCTGGATTTACTGCTGTCTGTCTCTTTTCAAACTAAAGAAGCCTGTGTAACGGTGAGAACAAGAGAGCAGTGAGGCTAAGAAGAGTATGATAACAGTGAAGGAGAGAAGAACAGATGGGAAAGATAAAACTCCAAAAACAAGGCATCTGTGACCAACGTTTAAAATAGTTCCTCGACTTACCTATGCTTGATTTTTACAAATATGGCAGAGGCCTCTGGGATATTACCAGAATAGGAAACCAAACCATACACAGAGCTAGTATATCTAATGCGTAAATAAGCATGGAAAGTTCTAACCCCAGAGTTGGCACTGGAGAGATGATAACCTTCCAACCAAACCCTCCTGGCTGATCACACCAGAACGGTGCAAATGCTGAAAATAGCTTCACGTCCCCCTCCACTTTGAAGTGGGGGTGTTAGGGGAAGGGTGTGGGAAGTGAAATGCACAAGTAGCCTCAGTTTGTATAGCCAGACTACCAAGCAAAAGAGGACCCAGGAGTGAGACTCCATCCTGAGGGACTAATTTTAGTCCTTCCCAGCACCTTAGTCCAAGTCCCAGGGTTGGGTCCAAGTACAGTCAGACTCCAGAATATTTACAGCACTGTCTGCTTTACATCATGATATTTGAGAATGGGTACTAGACTTTGGGGTTGGTTTTGTTTTCTTTAGTTTACCCTTTAGAGCTCCCCAGGTGATTCTTTTGTATAGCCAAGGTTAAGAAACATGAATTTAAACAGCCATTCCACAGTTAGTCTATACAAGGTCAAAATCAAAACACCAGAAAAATTATTGCAGAAAAATTGGCACAGGATATACATAATCAATTCCTTGGACCTTCCCAAGTCCTAATTAAACATGAAATGTTTCAAAGATTCAAAATACCAACCACTTCCTCAATAAGCTCTATGTTGTACAGACTAAGTATCTAGAATATACAAATCTGAAATCCAAAACTTTTTGAGCACCAAGAAATTCATTGGAGCGTTCTGAATTTCAAATTTTGGAATTTGGGATGCTCAACTGGTAAATATCAGGCAAATACTTCAAAATTTCCCCAGAATTCAAAAACTGAAGCCCTTCTGGTCCCAAGCATTTCAGATAAGGGATACTCAGTCTGTATTAGCATTTCAAAGAGCTAAACTATCACCCAGATTAGTACAGGTACCAAATCACAGATGCTAATTTTAGGCAGCACCAACCTGTCATTCATTCATTCATTCATTCATTTGGAGTCAGAGTCTTACTCTGTCACCCAGGCTGAAATACAGTGAAACGCTCACAGCTACCAAAACCTCAACCTCGACCTGCTGGGCTCAGGAGATCCTTCCTCCTCGGTCTTCCAAGTAGCTCGAACTATAGGCATGTGCCACCATGCCTGATTAATTTTTTCGATTTATTGCAGAGACAAGATTTCGCCAAGTTGCCCAGGATGGTCTCGAGACCCCAGACTTAGGCCATCCTTTTGCCTCCGTCTCCCAAAGTGCTGGGATTACTGATGTGAGCCACCAGGCCCAGTCAACCTGGCTTTTAAATCTTAACCAGATATGGAAGCTTAGATATATTTCTTAAAGCAGTGTGTACCTCAGTTTCTCCTATGTATAATAAAGGCCATAACTACATCTCCAGTTATTACAGGGATTAAGTGAGACAATGTTTATAAAGTGTTCAGTACAGTACCTGGCACACAGTATCCAGAAATAAATGGTACTACTTGTAACATGATCACTTACAGTACATAATAATAAAAGTGAACTCAGATCCTCATTATTCTGATCAACCACCATTTTGAGAGGGCAATGATTTCTGCACGTCTTGAATGTTCCCCATAATCACTCTGAGCCAAGTGAGTTATTCTAAACTGTTCTGGAAAAGGAGACCAAGCAATGGGCTAAAGGAAAATAACAAATAGAACCCCTTTTCAAAATTCCCAAGCCACCCCAAATCAAATAATTGTTCTGTGCCTTTATTTCATTCTGGCTGAAATTTTGTATTTAAATGACTTCCTGTTTCATTTGGTACATTTAACATTTAATAAGCACCTGCCAAGTGGCAGGCTTTCTCGGGAGCACTTTAATATTCTCAACAACCTTTGAGGTAGGCCTGCTCCCCAAATTTGATGAATAAGAAAAGCTCAAAAATTAAATAATTTGCCTAAGTCTCCACAGTTTAAAAAGGGTAGAGCTAGCATCGAATTCTTGACGTTCATTCTAAATTTCCTGCTGCAAACAATAAAAATATTATAGAACAAATAAAACAAAATTTAATTCTTGGGGGGGTAGAAATCACCAGCTAATACTGTGATATCTGTTTAGAAAGAGTAAAACTTGGAAATAGCTACATAAACTCTCCATTGCCCTCCTAGGCATTCTGAGAGTGAATGCCCTCCTAGACATCCTGAAAGTGAATTGACTTGACTTGAATCTACCTTGGTTTCCAATGCACAGTTTTAAAGCCTTCCACTGCCTCAGTTTCAGTGTCTTTTTTTTTTTAAGCTATGAAGCTATGCTCTTACGGTCCCTCTAAAATGCCAGGAATGACTTTAAAGGATATTCTTTTTGATCTATAAGAAGAGGAAATAGTGAAACTATTTTCTTTAAATTTTGACCTGTTTTTGGCAATCTGATTCTAGAAGTTAAAATTTAGCTTATCTTGTTCTACATTGCCAAGATGTGTGTCATCTCCAAATATAGCACTGTTTTCCAGTTCTAGAAAAACTGCATGGATGCAAATTCCTCTTATTGCCCAGGTCTCTTTCCAGAATCTTCCCGCTCCCCTAACTTCTCTAGAATCATACCTCACACTGTCTTTGCTCTAGGACAACTGAGAATCTTCTCCAACACTGAGAATTAAGAGATCCAGTCTATCCAAAACTTAATTTTTTTTCCCCAGGGTAAAGATTTCCTCATGGCACCTAAGTATTTACCACACAAGAAAAACTCAAATCTGACAATCCAATGATGAAAAACAAAACTCCACACGTAGGTGTGTCAGGTAAGGAACTTCTTGCTTACTCAGGTCTCCTAAGAGTGCCAGCACAAACAGAAGTCTGGCGCTCCTGTTCAGAGTCACAGATTCCTCAGAGTCACAGATTCCTCAGATGCCTCAAAAGGATGTTTGTGTCTGTGGACTTGGCCATAAATATTAAACCCCTCCCCAAGGGCTTCTCGCTCTGCTAACCAGGGGTCACAGGTGGAAATTACTGTACCACTTCTGCCAGAAATACTTGGCAAGTAACAGGAAATAAGGATGCTCTCTGAAAATTTTGCTTTTGCATCCAACTCAAACCTGCATCACTTGATTCAGCCGAATTAATAAATACCATGGGTAAAGGAAATTAAGGGAGATGAAATGTGATATCTACTTATTGGTATTCGTTCACAGTCCCTAGCTCATAACTTCCACAGCTCTTGTTATAATTTTGGGGTGCTTTAGGCCTCAAAAAACAGAATCTCTCTCTCTCCTCAAGGCAGGAATCTTCTCCAACATTTCTGTCTTGGAGTTGGCCATAAAGAAAATCTCTGCCCTGCCTTGTCTGGCTGTGAGCCATAAGAACGCCCATTTCAGAAGGGGTGCTGCCCCATACCCTGGAGAAAAGAATGTTATGTAGAGAGGC